TTTTTTTTTTTTTGATTTTTTTTTTTTGAAAATATCAAACTATTTTTTAACCAACCAATAGAATTAATTAAAAAAAAACAAACCCTCACAACCAAAATACTAATTTACCATATAAATAAATATTCACATAACATTTTTTTGTGAGTGATTTGAACATCATCAAAATATTGCACAACTAAAAAAAATGTGGTTGGGGAGTTTTTTCATTATTATAAAAAAAAATAAAAAAAAAGAGTGGTTGTTGTAATGAAAAAAAAAAAAAAAAGATTTATTCACACAACACACACAAATTCACAGATAAAATTTTTCCTATTCAATTGCGGTGGATTAATGGGTGATTTATTTTTAGGGGTTTTTTCAATCACATTGTGATCCCACTTTTTACTCAATTCTATAGATGGCAAACTCTATTTAATCTTTGGAGACAGCTATATATCAGAGCGCTCAGATAGTGTTCTTTTTATAACAATGTCCAAAAAAAGAAAACTCATATTATTTATGCCCATTACTTTGCCCAAATCTTTTTTTTTTTATTTTTTTCCTCACATTTTTTTTTTTTTGTATTTTTCTTTCTCAACCTTAGCCATTTAAGATAGCCCACATATCAAAATACACATATTAAATTATATATATATATATTTTTTTTTGATTTAATTTTTTTTTTTTAATTATTTTTAAATTTTTTTTTTTCTTTTTTTTTTTGAAATAAATTTTAAAAAAATAAAATTAATAATTTATCAAATCACAATTACTATTCAGATATATATAATTATTTCAATTTAAGATTTTAGAATTTTGCTCATTTATATATTTTCAATATTTTATATTTTATTAATTAAATAATATTATGGTTAAATAGTTTTATAAAAAAAAAATTACAAATTTAATAACCTCACCTATATCCTTTCTTATATTATCTTTTTTATAAAAAGTTTTTTTTTTTTAATTTATTTATTTATTTATTTATTTATTTATTTATTTATTTTTTCTTTTTTAATTAATTTTATAAATATAAACTTTATTTTTTTTTTATTTATTTTTTTTAACTTATATATATATAAATAATATAAAAAAAAAAATTCGAAAAATTATAAATATATAAAATCATATAAATATATATATTTAGTTATAGCAATCAATAAATCAATCATAATATTCTATTTGTGTTGTGGGTATATACATATATAAAAATATAAATCATATTCCCTTATAAAAATAATATTTCTTATAATCATTTGTTTTTCATCAATTTTTTATTATATTTTTTTATTATAGTCACTATTTTTTTTTTTGTGATAGTGATAACTGTTAAATACTTTTTTACAACAAAATAATTATTTTTACTATAAAACTATTGTAATCATCGCCTTCAAATTATTATAAAAAAAACTTTTTTCAAATAATCAACTCAATTAAGATATTTTTTTAAAAAAAAAATTAAAAAAAAAATGGACAATAATAATTTATCAAAAATTTTAAATCATGATATAATAAAAACACCAACAACAAACTTTATAACATTGGATCCACCATTAAATTATCAAAGAAGATATCTCAAAGTAAAAGTATGTTCATTCCCAGATGTTTCACCAAAATTTACAGCTGATAACCTATCGCCCCTATCATCCCCTTCAGAACCTCCACTTTTTGCTCTCTCTGATAAAATTAATATTTTCCAAATTTTAAATTCAAACAATTTAAATAATAGTATTAATATTAACAATAATAATAATATTATTAATAGTGGTATTAATAACAATAGTACCTTAACTTATAATAATAATAGACAATATAACAACTTTTATAATAACTCTTCTACAAATACCTCTGCTAGTAGTTCTGCAAATAACTCTACAAATAATTCTCCAAAAAACCCTCCTTTAAATATTTTCAATCAAAACAATGAAATTATAAATAAAAACAATAAACATAATTGTGATGTTTCTTCCTCCAACGAGCCAGTAAAAAAGAAACTAAAACCTGACTACAAACCTTCAGCTGGCTTTTCAGTAAAATCGTTCGAGTTTGACCAAATTCCATTATTTATTGCTTGTTTTCATAACAATACCCAAAGCCTAAAGCATATGATTAATACTGGAACCGATATTAACCATCAATGTAGAAAAAATGGATGGTCCCCATTAATGTATGCAGCACAAGAAAATAATATCGAAATCATTTCTCAAATTATCGCTTATGAGTAAGTATTACCTTTATTGATTACAAAAAAATATTTAAATACTAATTTCTTTTTTTCTATAGCTGTTCTAAAATAAATGCTACCAATGCAGAAGGAAACACAGCTCTATTTATTGCATGTTTAAATTCAAATATCGAAATTGTAAAACTCCTGTTATCTAAAAATGCCAATCCTAATATTCAAAATAGGTATGTTTTTTTTTAATTAAAAAATTATAATTATAATTATTAATAAATTTATAAAAAAATTTAATTATAGAATGGGTAAAACTCCACTAATGATTTCATCAGCTATTGGAAATAAAGAAATTGTTTTATTATTGCTTAAACACAACTCGAATATTAACACTATAGATAATGAGGGAAACAACTCATTAATGTATTGCTTACTTTATGGTTGTAATATCCAATTATTAATGAATAACAATTTTAAAGAAAAGGACGATCAATATGAAAATAATAAAAAAAATATTATAAAAATACTTTTGGAATATGGATCAAACATTGAACAAATCTCAAAAGACGAGTGGACCCCATTAAAATTAGCAATAAAGCACTGTTCATTAGAAATTGTTCAAATGTTTATAAATGGTCAAGATAGCCCAAAAAAAGCATCTTTATTCGAATCTATTGACTCCCAAGGTTGGTCCCCATTGAAAATTGCTATTAGATATGCTCCAAAAGATATCATTGAGTTTCTATTTTCATACTCTAATCCCTATATAGTCATAGATTCAAATTTAAAGAACAATTTAAATGATTATTTTAAACTATCAATATCTTTTAGATCATTTGAAATTTTCGAATATATATTTAATTTATTTAATAATTATAACTATAATAACAATAATAACAATAATAATAGTACATATATTTCAAATATTTTATCAAAAACCGATATAGAACAACTTATAGATATTGCTGATGATAATCAAACAAAAGATCTTTTGAAAAATCTTTTATAATATTGTAAATAAAAAAAAATTAAAGAAAAAAAAATCAATGTTGTTAAATTATTTAAATTATTTATATTTTTATTTCTTTTTTTTTTTTTTTTTTTTTTTTTTTTTTTTTGTTATTTTCATTTTGTAATATTTACAACTTTTCTAAAAATAAATCTTGAGTTTGCTTAACTGCATTTCTGTAATTTCCATAAATACTTGCACCTTCAGAAAAAATTTAAATAAAAAATAAAAAAAAAAATATTAAAAAAAAAAAATATTAAATTAAAAATTTTTTAAAATTATCTTTTTTTTTTTTAAAAGTTAAAAATTAAAATATTGTGTATATTAAGGTTAATTGAACAGCAATTTGATTGATTCTGTTAAAAAAAAAAATAATTACTGAAATTATTTACAAATTATAAAAAAAAAAAAAAAATAATAAAAAAGAACAGAAAAAAAAAAAAATAAAAAAAAAAATAAGGGGGGGTAGATATAAATAGTTTTGATCAACAATGAAATATTGATTGTTCAAACAAATCCATCAACAACATAAATATTATTTGGGGAAATGGTTATTATAACCTTTATAATCTTTTCTCTATTAAATTAAAAAAAAAAAAAAAAAAAAAAAAAAAAAACCCAAGGAAAAAAATTTTTTTTTTTTTTTTTTTTTTTAAAATTTTTTTTTTTTTTTAAAAATTTTTTTTTTTTTTTTTTTTTTTTTTTTTTTTTTTTAAAATTTTTTTTTTTTTTTTTTTCCCAAAAAAATTTTTTTTTTTTTTTTTTTTTTTAATTTTAAACGGGTCCCGGGTAAAAGGGTTTTTTATTTATTTGTTTGTCGGGGAATTTTTTTTTTTTTTCATAAATACCCCCATATATATTTTTTCAAGGTTAAAAACCCCTTTTTTTTTAATTAAAAAAATTTTTAATTTTCTTTTTTAAAAAAAAAAAAAAAAAAAAAAAAAAAAAAAAAATTCAGTGTTATTATTAATTTTAAATGTAAATATATTCATTTTAGAACTCTATATAGATATTGGTTTATAACTTTAAATTGGATTGTTTAATAATTTTAAATGTTCATAAAAAAAATAAAATCAAAAAAATAATTCATTTATTAAAAAAAAAAAAATTTTAAAATTTTTAATTTAAAATATTAATTACTTTTTTCATTTACCATTAATATTTTTAGATATTATAATAATATTTATCATCGACAATACCAACATGAATATAAATAATATAAATAATAGTAGTAATAGTAGTGTTGGTAATAACAACAATAATAGTAATAATAATATTAATATTAATATTAATAACAATAATAATAATAATATTAACAACAACAACAACAACAACAACAACAACAACAATAGTAATAGATACTCAACAGTAGAGGATTTACAAAGTTTCAATATTGAAGAGTTACTATCAGCTCCAGATACAAACTTTATATTAATAAAAAGCCAATCATACTCAAGTACCAGCCCAGAAACTGTTGAAGAAAGTATTGTTAAAAATGGTTTACCATTTGTTTTATCAGATACAACCCATGGATGGAGCAGAAACCAAATGTTTTCAATTGATTTCTTAGCAGTAAGTATTTTTTATAGTTATTATAATACTTTTTTTTTTTTTTTTTTTTTTTTACAGATATAATATTTGGGGAAGGAAAAAAAAAAAAAAAAAAAATTTTATTTTTTAAAACCACAGTGTTTCGAAACCAAATCAATAAATTTAAATATTTTATAAAATCAAATAAAAATAATTAACATATATTTCTATTTTTTAGGAAAGATATTCAGGTTTAGAATTAATTAATTCACCAAGAAATATTGAAATTCAAAAAGATTTACAAGGATGGAGAATGAGAGATTTTATCTCTTATTTACAAGTTTCACCAGAAGAAAGAAACCCAAAATATCTTTATGGTAAAAATATGACATGTCCACGTGAATGGCAAGATTATCTTTCACATAAACTCCAACCTCAATACTCATATAAAAGTAGATTTGACTTGGTATCACATTTACCAAACTACTTGCAACCAGATACTCTAATGTCTTATATTGGAGGGGGTGGTACCTATACTCCTGGTCATGTCGATTTATGTGGTAGTTTAGGTCAAAATTTAATGGTCGCTGCCGAAGGCGATTCTTTTGCCTACTGGTTTATTGTGCCATCACGTTATAGAGAAACTGCAATTAAATTTTGGAATGATAGAGGTGGTGATATCTATTCTGGAGATTCTCATTTTATAAACCCAATCGAATTACTTGGTGCACCATTCCCAGTTTATGTATATAGGCAACGTATTGGCGATTTTGTTTTCATTCCACCCGATTCACTTCATCAAGTTATGAATTTTGGCGGTACATCCATTAAACTTGCCTGGAATAGTATCTCTTTAAAATCGTTACCAATCTCTTATTATTCATCCTTACCAATTTCAAAGAAACTTGCCAAACCAGAAATGTTTCGTATTAAAGCTGTTGCTTATTATACTCTCAGAAAAATTATGGGCGATGTCGAAAATACAAATTTCAGTACAATTGATGTCAATGATGTCATTGATATTATTTCGCCTCTATTGGAAATCTTTCATAATATACTTCAAGTCGAATCTATTTTAATTCCAAAACCAAATTATCCATATTGTAATGGAGAAACTATTCCATTCCTTCAACCATTTAAATACTTTGGAGGTGAACGTATTCAAGATCGTAGATGCGAGCATTGCCACTCTGACATTTTCAATAGATGCTACCATTGTGATCAATGCAAAACTGATGATGGTCATGGTAAAGATTTTTGTTTCGATTGTGTTTCAATGGGTGTTGGATGTGAATTCCACTTTAAAGAGATGGTGTTAAAAGAGTTTATATCTCATAGCAAATTAAAGAAAGAGTTATCAAACTTTTACGATATCTATAAGAACCTTTTGTTACACAGCGGTCGTCGTCAAAGAGATGTAGATGAATTTATTGCCAAAACCTCAGAGCTTGTAGTCGAAGAATGTGGTTTCCTCACCACTGCAACCGTAGCTTATCATGTGGTTTATTACTCATCACAAAAGAAAATTAAATGCCATAGATGTGAAAGAAGATATAAAAAGTTCTCGGTAGTATTTTGTACAAATTGTAGTTCTCGTTTCTGTGAACAATGTGTTATTGGTTTCAAAGATGCATTTACATCAATTATGAAAAGAAGTGAATGGAACTGTTATAGTTGTCAAGGTCGTTGTGATTGTACAGCTTGTAAGAATAATGAAGATAATAGAAATTTTTTAAATAATGACCAAGACTATAACAGTAAAAATAATAACACCCTTAGTAAATATAATAATAATCACCATCAACATTCACCACATCACCAACAACAATCATCACATAATGATATGGATGGACCATTTAAAAAGAACTCTCCAAACTTGCAATCACTTTCAGCTTTACCATCACTTTCATCAATTTCATCATCTCTCAATAACAATGGCAACTATAATAACTATAATAATAATAATAATCCAAATATAAATATGAATATAAACAATAATATGAATGAATATCGTGATCGTTCATCATCATCAACCTCATCATCATCAGCCACCACATCAACTCTAACAACACTTTCAACAACATTATCCTCGTCGGCACCCACCTCATCAACTAAACCAATGGATATCCACTCAAAGAAAAGACCAATTGTTTTAGATAATGATAAGCCAAAAGGTAGACCACCAAAGAATTTGAAAGAATGGACATCTACACATAAATTTATTATCTCTCTTGTCGAATTAAATCGTTCAAACTCTGTACTTGGTAAAAACAATCCAAACTATAAACGTTTTGAAGATCTCCCAACATTAGTTCAATTATATTTAACAAAAAGACGTGCCTTTGGTGGTGTTTTATGGGCCAAAACAAATAGTTGCCCATTATTACCATGTCTCTGGGTTAAAGATCTTTCTATTATTCCACCCAACTTTAAATTACTCCCATCATTAGTTCAAGGAAAGAAAATTGTAGTCTTATTCTTTGGTTGCAACATTGAAGATGAAGAATCAATTGGTATGGTTGGTAAAAAATCAATTTTCAGCTTTGATGAAGTTAATCAAACTCTTTTACTCAAATGTAATGAAGTTCCATTAAAACAATTGGAGGATTTGTTTAATACAGTCGAACCGGATATTGCAACCAAAAAAGATATCTCGACATTTAATTATAAAACTCAAATGGAGGAAAAAGAAGATGGACTTTATGTAAAACAAGAATTATATAATAATAATATGAATATGAATATGAATATGAACAATATAAATAATATAAACAACAATAATAATATAAACAATAATAGTAATAATAAATATGATTAACTATTGAATATGAATAATATAAATAAAGTTAAATAAAATTATTTTTTTTAAATATTTCTAAACCAAAAATTTAAAAAAAAACTATATATCTAAAATTTTGATAATTTTAAAAAAAAGGAAATAAAAAAGCTATAGTTTCGATAAGGTTATTATTTATTTTTATTTAATTAAAACTTTTATTATTTTTTGGGCTCTTTCAAAAATAATCTTCTCTTCATTATCATCATCGTCACTGTCACTGTCACTTTCACTGTCGCCATCATCTTTTGATTTTTTAATTGTTTTTTTATTTTGGCTGCTTTTATATTTTGAAACTTGTTGTTTTGCCTCTTCGATGGTTCTGTCCTTGACCAATCCTTTAAGTGGTGCAAGATACTCTAAAGTAATTTCGAAAAACTTCTCTGGTAATAAATCTGTTGAGTAAATATTTTTTAATAATTGTACTTGAGTATTTTTTTCAAATTTCCAACTTGATTTATCATTCTTCCAAGTATCTAAATACATTAAAATTTCAGAGTTTTTAGATTTTAATTTCTTATCTTCTAATTCTTTTTTTTGTTGTTCAAGTTTAACTAACTTTTTCTCTTTTTCTCTTTTTTTTTCTTTTTCTTGATCTTTAAACTCTTTTTCTATTTTCTTTTTTTGAAAATCTATTTTTTCTTTTGGTGATAATTTTTCAAATGCTTTTTTTTCTTTTTCTAATCTTTTTTCCTTTTCACCCTCTGATTCTGATTCTGATTCTGATGAATCACTGTCTGATTCTGATTCTTTATTATCTGGTTTTTCATCCTCACTTTCGCTTTCACTTCCACTTTCATCGTCACTATCACTATTATTACTTTCACTTTCGCTGTCGCTATTGTTACTATCGCTTTCGCTATTGTTACTGCTATCACTTTCACTTTCGCTTTCTGATGATGACTCTTCAACCTTTTGTTTTTTAACTACTTTTTTTTCTTCTTTTACTTCTTTTTCATCCTCTTCCTTTTTATTTTTTCTTTTAACCTCTTTAGTCATTTTTATTTATATCTGTATAATTTAATAATTTTAAATTTAAAAAAAAATTTTAAAAAATAAATTTAAAAAAAAAATTAAAAAACGAAAAAAAATTAAATAACGAAAAAAAATTATATTATTTTAAAAATAATTAAAAATAAATAAATCAAATAATTTTAAAAGAACTATTATTATTATATATATATATTTAAAAAAACAAATAAAATAATAAAATAATAAAATATTGTTGTTTTAATATCGATATTTTTTTTTATTATTTTATATATTAAAAACTTTGATTTTTTAAGTTTTCCAATACGTCCAATAAAAAAGGTAAATATATTGATTCTATACCCTTTTTCCAAATTGAATTAAAATCTATTTTTATGAGATGTTTTAATTTCTCTTTTGTATCTTTTAATATTGATGGGGTTATTTTGTTAACTATTAGCTGAATACCATGAAGAATACCCCTCTGTAATAGGATACCACTTGATGATGATAAATTTATTTTATAGTACTTTGATATTATTTCCCTCATTTTCTTTACCTGGGTTGATTCTACTGATGGGTTTCTGAAGATTGAATATACCAATGACTTGATCCTTGCAATATATTTTTTATTACTATTTGATATTGGGTTGTTATTTCCTATACATGTCATATTTGAATTTATTAATAAAAAATACCATCCTTCTTTGGATGGAGTGTCGAAAAATAATATGTTTGAAAAATTTGTACCATTATCCATCCAAATCAAAGGTAGTCTATCCCAATTATTACAAAAAATATCGAAAGCCATTATTTGTCCAAGTTGCATTAGTTTCTTTTCACCAGTACTTCCTGAGAAATATTCTTTATGATTTAATTCTTTAAAAGTTTTTCCATAAGGTATGTATTCCATAACTAAATTAAAAAAAAAATTAATAAATTATCATAAAAATTGTTTTTAAAATAAAACCATAGATAGTTACTAAAGAAAAAAGATTTTGATAACTCCAATTTGATAAAATCGTAAAGCGACTCGTTAGATTTTGATGCATTTAAAAGAGATGTTGACATTTCATCAAATTCTTGGTCAGAGAATTCCAATAATCTCATTTCTGGAATTGGTAAACCAAGAATACTTTCTAAAATTGAAGCATAAACTTCTTGTACAATAGTAGTTGAAGACTTTAATAAAATTTGGTTATATTCGCAGTTGTTGGTTAAAAATGTAACAATAAGATATATATTCATATCTCCATAATCCACTTTTTCTATATTTATGATAGAATCCCACTCTATGGAATGAATATTGGAGTATTGAACAATTGGGACATATTCATTTTCTATTTTTTTTTTATTACCTTTATTATTTTTATGGCTACCATTACTATTTATACTGTTACAATTATTTTTAATATTACTACTACTAGAGTGGGCTGCTTTGCTTAATAAATCACTACTATTTTGACTTGAACTACTTGTAAAACTTCCTAAATTGCTACTACTATTCACATTACTTGATATTATACTTGAAATTGACTCCAAACTATTACTACTAGAGCATAAGCTTGAAGTTGAATTAAAACTACTATTATTTATACTATTTGAATTTAAATTATTGTTATTGTTGTTAACATTATTGCAGTGGTTATTATTTTCTATATTATTATTTACCCTGTTTCCTTCTATATTTATATTATTATTATTGATATTGTTGTTGTTGCTGCTGTTATTGTTATTGTTATTTATATTATTAATATTATTTATATTATCTTTTTCATTTTCTTTATTTATATTTTTTTTTTTATTTTTATCAAAAAAAAAAGTTTTGTTTTTAAATTGTTTTATTGTTTTCATTTTAAGGTTCGTACCTATTTATATTTAATTTAAAATGGTTTATTAATATTTCTCTTTATTTTAATGGAGTTATTATTTCTTCTATAATTATAAATTTTAAAATAATAAAATATTAAAAAAAAAAACAATAAAACAAAATACTAATAAAAAAAAAAAAAAATTATATATATAATAATATATAATTATATATAATTATATAATTATTTTGTATAACTGAAAAATTCGTATTTTTATTATTATTTAATTTGGTTTATTTTCGAATTACATATATTTAATAATTTCTTACATTACAAAATGTGGGAAAAGAAAAAAAAACAAAACTAAACAAAACAAAACAAAAAACAAACCATAATGTCATATAAATAACAAATTAATAATATAAATCCAAAACCATAGATAATTATAAAAAAAATACGAAGTTTTAATATAAATTATATATTTTAAAAACTATTAAAAAATATTTACTTTGTTTTATAAATACCACAACACCCTAACACAAATTATAATTATTTTTTTAATTTAAAAATAAAATTGTAATAAAAAAAAAAATAAAAAAATGAATTACACCCTATATGGGAAAATCATTATAATGTTTTTGAAAAAAAAAAAAAAAAAAAACGACTAACTTACCTCCGATATTATATTATAAATATATATTAATATTTTTTGATATCAAAAAATACTCTGTAATACATAAACAATAGTTACCACCACTACTATATTTACATACAAAAAAATGTGTGTGTTAAAACTATATTACAATATTTTTTTATTTTAAAAAATTTATAGATAAAAAAAACTACTATTATGCTATCTATTTAAAAAAATATTACTATTATTATTATTATTTATTATTAAAATTGTTTGTATTTGAATAATCTAAATGACACAATAATAAAAATGAATGAAATAAAAAAAATAAAAAAAATAAAAAAATTATTTTATAATTTATTATTCTTGTTATTCTTATTATTATTAATGGAGAATTTGAGAGATATATTGAACCACAAATATCACTACCACTAAATTTTATATCTTGCACATATAAAAAATTCATAAAAAAATATTTATATTCCCACAACACACTCTACCAATAAAAGAATATTGTCGTCTTATTTTTATATTAAAAAATTAATTAACAATATAATAATTTCCTTGTAAAATTTGATATTCATCTCATGTAAAACTCATAATTTCATTCAATGTTTTTGAAAACAACAACAACAACAAAAAAATTAATTTTTTTTTTTTATCCTAATTTACCCAATTATAAGAGAAATTTATTAATTTTAAAATAAACTCCTCTTAATAAGTGTACCTTTATTAACATTTTATTTCACCTAAACTTCCCCCATCACCTACGGCTAATTCATTTACCAAATATAGATAAATATATATATATAAATTTATTGCCCCTACTCGTCCTTAATACTCACACAATATATTTTTCACCCACACACAGACAAACACACATAAAAAAGATATATAAAAACCCACTTCAAAAAAACACACCCACCCACATTTAAAAGCAATAATTAAGAATTATTCTTCTCTGTTGTAATTTTATATAGCATCTTTTTAATATTTTAGTTGTGGGGTATTGCTATTTTAATAGAGCAAATTGTTTATTTTTTATTTAAGTTCATATACTATATTAATATATTAATTTGGATAACGCTACCTCTTTCATCATTTTTAAATATGGTACTATTGAATTTTCTTTTTTTTTTTTTATTTTGATAATGATTAATAATTTGAAAATTGTAAATTTGGTAATACCATTAAAACAATTAATAAAATAATTTTTTTTTTAAAAAAAAAAAAAAAAAAAAAAAAAAAAAAAAAAAATTAAATATAAATTTTTAATTTTATAATTGTTGGGAATTAATTTTTCTTTTTGATATTATTTTATAAAAAGTGATTGCTATTTTACTTTTTTTTTTACTTTATTTGTTCTAAAAAAATTCTTATATTTGTCAGTAGTTAAAAAAAAATGTTCACTCCGTTTTTTTTAGTTTACACTTTGTGTAATAAATAATTTTATCTAGATAAAAAAAATAATAGATTTTTTTTAATTTAATACATCATCATAATAACGCACCATCCTTTAATTAAGAGAAATAATCTTATCAATAATGATAGATATTTATATCGTGTTATATATATTATTTTATATATTTATCCTAACAAAAAATAAAAAAAAATATTTTATATTTATATTTTATATGTCTATAAATTTAAATTTTATTTATTTATATAAAAAATGGTTAATATTTTTATATATAGATAAAAAAAAGTTATAAAAAAACTTTAAAAAAAAAAGATTATATAAAAAAAATAATTATTTTTTTATGGTGATGATACCAATAATTAAATTAACTATTTAGTTTTTTTGTTGGTGGTTGGGGTTGATTTTGATTTTTCTTTGTAGGTGCCTAAAAATTTATCTAAATAAGTGAATCTTGAACCATAGTTGCATGTGAATTCTTTGTGATGATAATCGTGGAATGATGTGCCACCATAGTATGGCATAAAGTTGAATGGGAAAAGATCGATATCATAACCAGAGTGAGTTAAAACAGCATCTAATTGACGAATAACAAACCATGAATAAAATGTAATAAAGTGTGGTCTAATAATTAAAGCTGGTGCAAATGTTGCAAAACCTAAAAAGACAACTTCTACTGGATGGGCATATGAGGCAGTGAAACCAAATGGTGCTGAATAATAATGATGTTCTTTATGAATGTTTTTGTAGAACCATGGGGTGTGGAAGAATCTGTGCATCCAATAGTGGAAGAAATCTTCACCAATTAAACAAAGGAAAATATCTAAACAAAATCTCCAACTATATATATTCAAATTAAAAAATTAATAAATTTATAAAAAACTTAAAAAATAAAATTAACGTTAAAAAAAACTTACGCTGGTGGTAATGGTAATGAATAATTCATACCTAAAAATTTAGAGAATGGGAATGATACAACACCTAATGGTAATACAACCAAAAGATAATTGACAACTAAATTATCAATACATCTTTTGATATCTTGAGATGATGGGTATTTCTAATATTAAAAAGAATGATTAATATTTTTTTATGTTTTATTATACACTTAATAATACTTACAGTGATTTGAATTTTTTTTTTTGGGAAGAGTTTAAATTTATCAAAGAGATAAAATATAAATCCACCAAGGGCATATAAGACAGCCATACTAAAATAAAAAATAAGGAATAAACCAAATTCGCCATAACTAATAAAATAATATTAATTAGTTTTAATATATTTAAATGTATGTTTTATTTGAATTCATTGATAAATACCTTTGGAGAATCCAAGCCCAACCATATTCGATAAAATTTGATGGTTGTGGATCGAGTGATTTAATGTCATAATTGACATCGGATTTAAAAAATGCGGTAATATCAGCTAATTTCAACATTTTGTTGGATTATTATTATTATGAAAAGTAAACTGATATTATTAAATAAATAATTTTTTATATTACAATCTCTATTCTATTAATAGTTTTATTATTATATTCTATTTTTAAATAATGATTAATATGTCATATGAAGTTTATTTATAAGCAAATATAAAAAAACTCGAAATTTTTTTTTTTGAACAAATTAATAAATTATTTTTTATTATTATAACTATTATTATGCTATAGAATAATTATTATTTAATGTTATTTAATTATTTAAATAATTTTTAATTTTATAGTTTTTTTTTTTTTTGCTATAATATTTAAAATTTGAAAAAAATTAAAAAAAAATAAAATATAAAAAAAAAAAAAAAAAAAAAAAAAAAGGGTGAAAATCCAAATATGGGGGCCTTTTGCCGTGTGTGGTTACGGGCTCCCCCTAATTCGTTTTTTTTTTTTTTTTTTTTTTTTATATGAATAACGAGGTCTAGATATTTTGAAAATCAAATATAAATAAATATTTTTTTTAATTTTTTTTTTCTTTTTTCTTTTTTTTATTTATTTTTTTTTTAATTTTTTTTTTTTAATTGATAGTGTGTGTCGAAAATTTTGTTTGAGATTTCATTCACTATAGAAATAATCATCATATTACAATTAAATAAATTAAAGTATTAATAGATAGTTGATTTAAAAGTGATTTCAACTTACGAATTACTTTTTAATCATTATTATTATAATTTAATTTTTTTTATTTTAAAATAAAAAAATAATAAAAAAAAAAGGAAATTTTTAAAATTTTTTTTTATTTTTTTTTTTCATTTTATTAGATTTTGGTTGTTTTTCTGTTGAAGCAATTGGTTGTTGTTTTTTTTTTTTTTTTATTAGAAAAAGGTAAAAGTTAAGGAAAAAAATATCAGTGTCAAAAATGTCAGGCGATGGTCAATGTATTTTTGGTAGTATGAAACAATTACTCTTAGAACATTATTCAATGATTTATCAAGTTGTTGTTGCAGTATTAACAATTGCCGTTATCTACAAGGCTTTTTTCAATAAAAAGAACCTTCCAGTTAGACCAAAGAGAGATATTGGTACCTCACCAGCTTCACTTGGTACTGGTGCAGAAATTGACTGTGTTAATCCAGCTACAGGTAAATCAATGGGTATCATCAAATCATTAAAAACTGACGAAGTTAAAACTTGTTTAAAAGCTGCTCAAGTCGCTCAAGCCGAATGGGGTAAAACTTCATTTGATGAACGTAGACAAATTCTTCAAGATTTCATTGATATGTTTATTAAAAATGAAAATGAATTAGTTGAAGCATCTATGAGAGATACTGGTAAAACAAGTAAGTATCGAAAGTAGTAAAAGTAATGGTAGTGTAATTTTAAACTAATAACGATTTATTAATTTATTAAATTTTAGGATTTGAAGCTACTTTTGGTGAAATTTTAACAAGTTGTGAAAAATTAAGATATTTAATTCAAAATGGTGAAAATGCATTAAAGACTGAAGAAAGAAAGGTACCAATGTTAATGGGTACTAAAGCAGCAAGACTCGAATATCATCCACTTGGTGTCATTGGTATTATTATTCCATGGAACTATCCAATTCATAGTATTATTTCAGCAGCAGCAGCAGCTATTTTTTCAGGTAATGCAGCTTTAGTTAAAGTTTCAGAATGGTCAACTCATTCAAAGATTCTTTTTGAACATCTTGTTAGAAAAGTTTTAGCCAACAGAGGTCACGATCCAAATTTAATCCAAATTCTTCCAGGTATGGGTGAAACTGGTGAAGCTTTAGTTAGATGTGGTGTCGATAAAATTCTTTTCATTGGTTCACCAGGTACTGGTAAACGTGTAATGAAAGCTGCTTCAGATAACCTCACTCCAGTTATTTTGGAACTCGGTGGTAAAGATCCAATGATTGTCTTTGACGATGTCGATTTAGATTGGGCTCTTGCTGTTGTTCAAAGAGGTTGTTTCATTAATTTAGGTCAAAATTGTATTTCATCAGAAAGAGTATTTGTACATGAAAAAATTTACGACCAATTTTCAAAATTAATGGCTGAAAAAATCAATTCACTTAAACAAGGTCCACCAGAAGAAGGTCATTTCGATTTTGGTTCAATGACTATGCCAGCTCAAGTTGACAAAGTCGAACATTTAGTTAATACTGCCATCAAAGAAGGTGCTACACTTTTAGCTGGTGGTAAAAGAAATCCAGCCTACACCAAAGGTAACTATTTCCTCCCAACTGTTTTATCTAATGTAACTGAAAAGATGACTATTTTCAATGAAGAAGCTTTTGGTCCAGTTTGTACTTTAGTTAAATTCTCAAATGAAGAAGAACTCGTTCGTATGGCCAATGGCACTGCTTTTGGTTTAGGTTGCTCCATTCTCAGTACCGATCTTAAGAGAGCTGAACGTATTGGTAGCAAAATCTCCACTGGTATGTTAACCATTAACGATTATGGTGCTTCATATTTAGTTCAAGATCTTCCATTTGGTGGTTGCAAAGAATCTGGTTTTGGTCGTTTCAATGGTCCAGAAGGTCTCAGAGGTTTCTCACGTGAAGTTTCAATTCTTACTGATCGTTATCCAATTAAAACACCAGTTCCACGTCTCATCCGTTATCCAATTGATCCAAATTCAGTCGGTATTATTCGTTCAGCTATTTATATGATTTATCAAAGAGGTGTTGCTAACAAAATTAGAGCCGCCATTAACTTTACTTCACAAGTTATCCGTAATCCAAAATTATTAATGTAATAAAGTAAATAAATATAAATTATATGAATAAATTATAAAAATTTTAAATTGTAAAGATTATAATTTAAAAAAAGAAAATCGTATCTTAATTAAATTAAATTGTATTATTTTTTTTTTATTATTATTTTCATTATAAAAAATTTTAATTTTTTTAGATTATCAAAAAATAAAAAAAAGTAGTTATATATAATTTTGATATATTTAATATTTTTTTAACAAATATTTATTTATTTATTTACTTTTTAATTAGTAAAAGATGAAATAAAAAAAAAAACTACAAATGTTGTATTTTTTGATAAAATAAATAATTGTAATATTTTTCAATGTTGATATTATGATGGTTTTTATATAAAAAGTGCATGCATAAAAATATTTAAAAACTTTATTTATACAATAAATCTAATGTAACAATAAATAAAAAAAAATGATTGGGGTTTATAAAAAAGATTTATGTGGGTTAATAAAAAACAAAGAATAACCCCTAATCATTTTTTTTATTACCAGAAATAGAAAAGGATCTTATTGAATCTATTTTAATCTTACTTTAACCCTCTTGTTAATTCTTTTTTTTAATCATTCTAAAAAGAATTAAAATTTAAAAGAAGTAATTAGAGCTTGGTATTTGTAATTTATCTCTTAATATTTAAATTTGTTTATTTTATAAAATATTTTTTTTTAATTTTTTTTTTTTTTGAAGAGCTAAAAAAAAAGATATAAAACTCAAAACTTTTTTTTTCTTTTTAATTCAAGCCAAAAACAAAGAAAATAGCAAGTATAAGAAAAAATATTTCTTTTTTTTTTTTTTTAGTTTTTAAAATTAATTTTTTTTATTTTTTTACAAATTTAGATTTCCCAAAACTTTAATAAAATAAATCTTGTATCAAAATGTCAGAAGTTAGAAGCAACTTTAATGAATTAAAAGAAGGTATTTGCCAAGGAAAATTCTTAGATATGTTTGATAAATACTTTCATAATGATGTTGACATGTACGAAGGTGGTGAATTAAAAGCTAATAGAAAGGGCAAAGCAAACAATAGAGAGTATCAAGAAAATTTTATTAAAAACGCAAAAATTAATGAAATTAAAATCTTAAGAAGTATCATTGATGGTGATGTAGTTGCATACGAAATGCTAATGGACTTTGAAATTGGTGGCCAAGCCATAAAGAAAAACCAATGGGTAATTCAAACATGGAACAATGGTCAAGTAATTAGAGAAGAGTATCTTTAAATCTTATTAATATATATGAGTTTTAAAATAAAATTCAATATAAAATAAAGCAATATAATAAATTTAAATAAACTTTTTTTTTTTTTTTTTGTATGAAATATTAAAAATAACTATTTAATTTTATTTTTTTATTAATATTATTTAAAAAAAAAAGGGTTAAACCATAGTTTCTAATATTTGTTTTTTTATTTTTCGGTGTTTATTGACGTCTTCTATTATTAATGATAATAATGATTGGTCCACGGCCACCACCACCACTACCACCACCACTGCCACCACCGCTGCCACCGCCGCCGCTACCCCAATCACCACCACCACCGCCGCCGCTGCCACCACCCCAATTGGAAATAGCGTTATCAGAAAACTTAATAGGGTCTACGCTAGTTGCTCCCAAGATGGATCCGTCACTCATTGTATCTGAGATTCTGCCAAATTTAGATAAATTACCTAAATAATTATATTTATAATTTATATATAATATATATTAATATTTTATTAGTATGAATATTTTATTAGTATGAATATTTTTAAGCTATTCTTTTATAAAACTTACCGATAATAGTCATTTTTAATTTTTGAATAAAAAAAAAAAAAAAAAATATTTAGTATTTATAGGTTTTTTTTTTTTAAATAAAAATTGTAATTTAATCAAAAATGCCCAATAAGAGACTTTGAGATTACAAGATCAACTACTATTTTATGTTTTTTTAAATAAAAAAGTGATATTTTCCATCAATACTCTTTAATTTGGATAATTGTTTTTTTTAATTAAAAAAACAATTAACCAAAAAAAAAATTATTTAAAAAAGGAAAAAATAAAAAAAAAAAGATAAAAAAGGAAAAAAAAAAAAAAAATTGAATAAATTAAAAAAAAAATTAAATAAATTAAATAAAAATAAAAAAGGAAAATATTTTTTTGGTAAATAAATATATTACATAAAAGAAAATCTTTTATGGTATTAATAAAACAGGCTTTATTAAATTTTTTTTCATTATATTTGAAATAGATAATAACTTTTTATCGTTTGAAAAACTTTTTCTTTTTTGTTGAAAATTAGATTGTATATTTGAATTTACTTTAACTTTGGGTATTTTGATATGGCCAGATTTTTGTAAATTTTCGATACCACTTTTAATTTTTTCGATTGAAATATTATTTAAATTATTATTATTTACAACTACATTTATATTATTATTATTATTATTAATATTATTTACAAAATCTATACAATTATTATTTAAATTCTCTTCTATTTTTTCAATTTTGGGTATAAAAGGTTTGAATGCAGTACAGTTGTTATTATTATTATCATTATTATTATTATTATTATTATTATTATTATTATTATTATTATTATTTAAAATTGGTGTATATAAATTAAATTCGGAACTGAATCTTCTTTTGTTATTATTAAAATTATTAAAGCCAGATACTTCTTGATCTTCTTCTTCGTTATCGGAATTATCGTCCCAAACCCCTTCAAAATCGATTATTAAAGGTTGATTGGCCAAGTATTCTCTTTGTTGTAAAAGATGTTTTGTATTTGCGTAACATGTTGGATCGACAAATGATACGGTTTCTAATTCTGACAATAGTCTTTCCATTCTTATAATTTTATATTATTTGTTGTACTAATCGTAAATTCTATTTTATTAAAATGAATTAAAAAAAAAAAAAAAAAAAAATTATTAATATTTATTTATATTTTTTTTAATAAAAGAAATTTAAAATAAAACAAAAAGAAAAAAAAAAAATAAAATAAAAAAAAAAAAAATTAAAATTAAAACAATAATTAAAAAAAAATAATTGTATGATTTAATAAATTTTTAACTAAAAACTGAATTTTTGGTAAAATAAAACAAAAAACAGTAATTTTTAGAAAATTAAAAAAATATTTTTTAAAAAAAAAATGAAATAAAAAAAAACTTTTAAAAGTTTTAATTTAATTGATAAATATATACTTTTTTGAAAAAAAAATATAGTTGGTTTGATATATCGATATTTTTAAAGCAAATTAAAAAAAAGTTTTTAAAACTTAAAATTATTGTTGTTATTATTATTTTTATTATTATTTATAGTACTGTGTGTTTTTGGGTGTGTGTTGTTGACTTGTGATGTATATGAAATAAAAAGAAAAAATAAAATAAAAATTTTTTAATAAAACACTATACGACACAATTTTAAAAAAAAAAAAAAATAAAATAAATAAAAATAAATAAAATAAAAATAATTATTTTAAATTGAAAAAGGTGTATACAACAACATATGTACACACATATATTATAAAAATTAATTAATAGAAATTAAGATTTAGCATATATGTGTGTGAGTGTTTTTGTGCGGGTGAGAAGGTAGTATGTGTGGTCGGTGTGTTAAATCTCTTGTTTGAATTAAATATTAATTTTAAATTTTAATACAATACATGTATAAATATATATTTGATTTTTTTTCAGTTTCCTCTGTTTATGTGTGTGTTAAGTGTGTGTTTTATTTGTTTGTTTTAAATGTGGTAATAGTTTAGTTTTTTAGTAGGTGAGTGGTTATTATTATAGAGAGATATGTGTCTTGTGGGTGTGTGTGTGTATTACCACATATGTGTGTTATTGTTTTATGTTTTTATTTTACTATTTTTATATATAAAAAACTTTATTATAGAGAGAAATATGTGGGTGTGGGTGGGAGTGTGGTTTAATTTTAAATAAAAATTATAGACTTTTGTAAATGGATTAGATAACATATATAAAATAAATATATATGGATGTACTACTACTACTATTACACTTACATCTTTAATTAGTCTATAAAGATTGTTGTTGTTGTTATTTTTTTTTTTGTTGTTATTGTATTTCTAAATATAAATTAAACCAATCAATATGATATTATTGACAAAACAATTTAAAATAATATAAATAGATGGTAGAAAAATAGAGTAATCTAAAATGTTATTGTTGTTGTTGTTGTTATTATTATTTCTATTATGAATCTAATTGTGATGTTATTGGTTTTTTTTAACAAACATTTAAAAAAAATAAAATAAAATAAAAAAAAAATAAAATAAAAAAAATTTTAAATGATATTTAATTTATATGGATATAGGATAGAAAAATTTTATAGATTATAGATATAAATATAACAACAATAATTAAATAAATAAGACACGTTTTATTTTCTACTACTACAATTATTTTTTTATCACAAAAAAAACAAAAAAAAAAATAAAAATGGATAGGAAGAAAAAAAAAAATAAAAAAAAAAAAAAAAGGTGAGAAAAAACACAACCAACAACATATGTTAAATTAATTTATTAAGATAAATAAAATAATGTATATCCATATCACCCCGTTAAACACCACACTATCACACAACACAGACAAAACTCTTTCTTTTACATACTACTACCACTACAAAAATAATATCGAAAGTATACACAAAAAAATAAAAATTAAACAACTAAAAATAACCATTTTATATCAGATATTTAACCAATAAGGAAATTAAAAATGGGGTGTGTGAATGTGTTTTGAGTGTTTATTATGAATATGAATAAACAATAATATTATTTTATAATTTATTAATGTGTTTGAGTTTCGTAAAGGTTATGTTCATGTTTTGTCCGGTATACAATTTTTATAATGAAAAAAAATTGAAAGTGTGTGTGTGGTGTGAAATGAGATTGGATAATGATAATATTAAATTTATTTTTATTTTGTATAAATATCTAAGTGTGTGGGGGTGTGTATCTTTAATTAAAAAAAAATTTGATGATGATTTTTTTTTTTTGAAAAAGTTTTTTTTTTTAAAATTTTTTTGGAATTTTATTGTGAAAATTTGGGGGTATCATTTTTGGATGATGATGATGGTGATGATGATCCAATAAAATAAAAATACACAAAAGAAACAATAAATTTTTTATTTACGAGTGAGTAAGCGTGGGTGTGATTTATATAAAATATATTAATTAAAAAAGATTGTGCACAAATAATTATTTTTTTTTTTTTTTTTAAAGAGCTACTTATAATAGGGAGATATTTTAATCCCCCACGTATCAAATAACAATAAACAGTATATTTTTAATAATTATTATAATGTGATTAAAAAAAAAATTATTTAAGATAATAATAACAATACATTTATTTTTATTTTTTTTTTACTTACATTAAAAGGAATGAAAAAAATAAAAATTTTTTGATTTTGGTATGATTCAATTAGTGCGCTACTAATATTATTACCAAATAAATTTATAGATTGTAAAAAATTTAAAAAGATTAATTATTATTAATAGTGTAATTATTGTTATTATAATATGATGTGTGGGTGTGGGTGATACAAATTATTAATAACGAAAAAAATTATATTGTTTAAAATTAATAATAATATTATTAAAAATATAACCTTTTATTTGTATGAATAAGTATATATAATTTGTAATAAATATATGTTGATATGTGGTGGTGTGTTGGTGAAAAAAGAAAATAATATTTTCAAAAAAAAAAAAATAAATAAATAAAAAAAAAAAAAACCTTTTTTTTTTTTAAACAAAAAAAAACAAATTTATTATTTTTTTAATGGTGATAAGATTTTTTCACTACACTTTTAGTTGATAATCGTAATTAAAGAAAAATTTAATGGAAAAGGTGTGCGAGCAAGAAATTTTATTTTAATTTTTTTTCAATTAAAATAAAAAACTTGCCTGAAAAATGGAAAAAGAATCTTTTTTTTTTGATATTGTTTAAAAAAAGGTTTTTTTTAATTTTATTTTTTTAATTGATAGATTATTGTTGGGGTGATGCACCGGTGTCAGGGTCAAAAAAATTTCTTGGTTTTAAAGAACCGGATTTTTTAACTGGTCAATAGTTTTTTTTTTTTTTTTTATAAATTGACCATCACAAACCTAAATATTTTATTATAATTTTTTATATAAAATAAGATCTGCTTTTTTTTTTTATAATTAATTGTTTATTTTTTTTTTTTTTTTTTTTTTTTGAAATAATCCATTTTTATTTATTTTTTTTTTTTTTTTTCTTTTTTTTTTTTTTTTAATCCATATTTCTTTTTAAAATAACCCACCAGCCGGAAAAAAAAATCCGTTGATCCCAAATTTAAGGTAAATTTTTATTTTAATCAATTTTAAAAAAATAAGTTTTTTTTTTGGTCGTTTTTTTTTTATATTATATTTGCACTTTTCGAAAAAACCAATAATGCCCCAAAAATCTCCAATCAATTTTTTTTTAATTTTTTTCTTTTTTTTAATTTTTTTTTTATTTTGGCTTCCCAATTTCGTCAAATTGATTTTTTTTTGCCATTGATAAAATTATAAAGAATTTATCGTTACAGAAAATGTTCACCAATTTTTCAGATTTTAAGGAACATGTTTTCCATGGATAAAGAAAGGCAGTAAATTATATT